AGCAGACCGGAGGATAACCCAGAGTTTGATCTCAGGGACATGATTGCCACTGCCATATCTAGGGGAGTGGATGCAGAGTTACAGCATAGGAGTCAACGTCCTAAAAATGTGAACCTTGCCAGGGATTCAGCCACCTCTCAGGATGTCCCCCCTCCTCTCCCTTTCCTTCCATCTACAGCGAAGGGTCTGTTTTAGCGGGGGGGAGGTGAGATTTTGGGGAGGAAGGTGAGATTTTGGATTTGGAATTATCGGATGAAGAAGGGCTGGTTCAGGATAATGTTCCCTTCTTGGGCCTCTTCAAACCAGCCCTATTCAAGTCTCTTCTTTACAAAGCCAAGGCCATCTCCAATTTGGGGGGGAGCAACCACGCAGGCCAGCACCGACGTGGGCCTTGATCCCACGGGGCGCTTGTTCGCTGAACAGGTGCAAGAACAGGAGACTATTCCATCACCCAAATTGTTTCTGGACATAATCCAGAAACCGTGGGCTCACCGCAGTTTCGCCCCCCCAGCAATGGCAATAGAAAGCTTTATGCTTCCACGCTGGAATTGGACACCATTTTACAGTTTCCCACTGTTGACCGACCGATAGCGGCCTTGGATTCCCCTGCCCTTATTCCATCTGAAATTTTAGAGGGATTGAAGGCAGAGACCGCAAGGCGGAGCTTGTTATTCGCAAAACGCACCAGGCAACTGCCTGGGCATTGCGTGCCGCTACGGCGGCCTCGTTCTTCAATAGAACTTCCTTAGTTTGGGTAAGACAACTTCAGGAGAGGTTAGGATCAGAGGACCTGCACCTTCATCAGGATGTGGTCAAACTGGTGGCGGCTTTGGAATTCTCGAATGCAACACTCAATGCGGCCAACTTCGCGTCCCGAGCTGTGGCATCCAATATAGCTTCTCGTTGCTTGTTATGGCTACGCCATTGGCAAGTGGATGTACAATCCAAATGGCGCCTTGCCTCCACCCCCTTCAAGGGCAGTTCCCTATTTGCTGCAGCGCTGGATCCTATACTGGTTGAAATGAGGGAAAGCGAAAGGTGCTGCCCTCGACCACTAAGCACACGGATTGGAGGCAACAACTGTATCCTCGGAGGCAGCCCTTTTGTTTTGGGGAGTCGGGGTACTCATCCCTCCTACACCCCCTTTTCTAATAGATTTTTTTCCCAATCCCAGGACAGGTTTCAGGACAGGTCCAATACTAGGGACAGAGGTAGGAACCAGCACCAACAACAGGCCCAGGCCTGGCGGCCCTTTTGTAGCGCCAACAACCGGTCCTTTCATAGGTACCGGTGACTCGCTAGAGGTTGGCCCTATTGGTGGGCGCTTAACTACCTTTGTTCGCCAATGGGAAGCCACATCCTCTGATGCCTGGGCTCTTCAGACTGTGAGGCTGGGCCTCATTCTGGAGTTCCTGGCCATTCCCCTGAGACGTTTCATCAAATGTCCAGTACCCAGGTGCCAGTTAAAGCGACGTCTGATGGACACGGAAATCCAGCATCTCATTTCCATCAGCAATAGAACAGGTGCTGAGGGGACAGGAGGGTCTAGGTTTCTACTCCATACTATTCCAAGTTCCCAACGCCTTGGGAGGATGGCAGGCCATCCTAGACTTGAAATGGCTCAATTTCTACCTCAAATACCAAAAATTCAAAATGCAATCACTCAATAGTATTCTGACGAGCATTCGCCAAGGCGATCTCACCTCCATCGACATCAAGGATGCCTACTTGCATATTTCAATATATCCGGCCCATCGAAAGTTTCTGCGCTTCCACTTCACGGGTCATCATTTCCAGTACCGTGCCTTACTATTCAGCCTATCATCAGCCCCGCGGGACTTCACCCAACTGCTAGCAGTAGTTGCAGCCTTGCTGAGGTCGGTTCCCCTAAGAGTCATTTGTTATCTCGATGACATCTTAATCTTATCATCTTCCCGGAACCAGGCCTATCGTGACTTACATCTGACAATCGACGCCCTACAGGATCACGGATTCATGCTGAACTTTCCAAAAAGCCACCTGCACCCGATCACGTCCATGCTACATCTTGGGGCAGTCATCAACTTGGAGACTTGTGTGGTCTCTCTCTCGAGGGAGAGACAGCAGAGCCTGCAACCCCTGGTGAGCCAAGTGCTCAAACAGAGGTCACCTTCCCTTGCAGTATTGTCCCAACCTCTAGGGAAGATGATATTTTGCATAGATGTTGTACCTTGGGCATGGTTCCACCCACAACCACTGCAGTGGTATCTACTCCCATTCTAAAGGGCTCACACCAGTCACACTCCAATCATGATTCGCTTACTGACCAAGGTGTTCCTATTGCTCTGTTGGTGGCTGTCATCCCGCATCCTCAAGGGATGCCTTTTCAAGGAACCGGAGCGGATTGTGGTTACAACGGATGTGAGCCAATTCAGGTGGGGGGTCCACGCCCTGAATTGAAGGTCGTTGTACTGTCCGGGAGCTGAACAACAGCATCAATTGGCTGGAGCTACAGGCCATCCGCCTAGCCCTCCGTGAGTTTTGACACATGGTCCCCTCCAACCATGTACTGATACTCACCGACAACGTGGCCTCCAAGGCGCATATCAACCGCCAAGGTAGCACGAGGTCCAAACCCTGATGATGAAAGCAGAGCGCCTACACCACTGGGCGGAGAACCATCTGTTGTCAGTCTGAGCGGAACACATATTGGGCACTGCAAACATCCAAGCAGACTGGCTGAGCAGGACCACGGTGGATCAGGCGGAGTGGAGCTTGCACCCAGCCCTGTTCCAAGAACTGTCCCACTGCTTCAGCCACCCGCAGAGGGACCTGTTCGCCCAACCCGAAAACACACACCTGCCGTGTTATTACACCAGGTACCAGGAGCAGAAGGCACCAACGCTCTCCAAAGCCCTTGGCCGTTGGGCCTCCTTTATGCCTTCCCGCCTCTGCCAATTGTGCCGCTGGTCATACGGAAGATTCTGACAGAACAGGCGGAAGTGCTGCTGGTTGCACCGATGTGGCCACGACGCCCCTGGTATGCGGACCTCGTCCATCTGTCCATCTCTAGCCCGTGGAAAATTATGGACGACCGGATATCCCTCTCGCAAGGAGCTCTCATCCACTCGAATCCACAGCTGTTACAGTTAGCCATGTGGCATGTGAGCGGGCGATCCTGAGTCAGCAGCATTTCTCTGATAGGGTCATCTCCACGATCCAGGCGGCTTGCCGCCCGTCAACAACACACATCTACCTGGCGAGCATTTGCTGCAGATGGTGTCGGGCACCGGGTGAGGACCCAACTGGGGCGACCACAGGTTTTGGATTTCCTACAGATGGGCATGGACAAAGGACTAACACCTAACACCCTCCGCCATCAAATTGCGGCTCTGTCTACCGTAATTGGTGGTGGGCAAGGCCAACCCCTAGTTCAACATCCAGGGATGCGGGCCTTCCTGAAGGGAGTGGCGAACCTTAGCCCACCTAACGTTCATCGCTATCCTACCTGGGATCTCTCCCTAGTACTAAATGCCCTTACGGCGGCTCCATTCGAGCCTATTCGGACCATCTCCCTCAGGTTACTGACTCTTAAGACTGTCTTTTTGGTAGCCATTACATCGGCCCGGCGTGTGTCCGAGTTGGCGGTGCTCTCCGTCCGAGACGACCTCTGCATCTTCCATCCAAGCAAGGTCGTATTACGTTTGGACCAGACCTTTATTCCAAAAGGCAACTCGTGGTTCCACAAGTCCCAAGAAATCACTCTCCCAGATTTCTGTCCACAGCCATCTCACCCCCGAGAACGGCATTGGCATCATCTCGATGTTTGTCGTTCACTTCTCCGCTATGTGAAACGCACTGCGTCGTTCCGAAGAATGGAGGCCCTGTTTGTGTCCTTCCAACCTGCTACCGTGGGCCATAAGGCATTGTGACATATCATCGGCCGCTGGTTGAAGGCGTGTATTGCCCTAGCCTATGACTGCCAGACCCGACCAGTTCCCAGTCATATTACTCCCCATTCTACTAGGAGTGCAGCCACGACGGCGGCCTGGGCAATGCAGGCCTCGGTGGAAGACATCTGCAGGGCAGCGGCCTGGTCATCACCGTCACCCTTTATCTGTCACTACAAGGTGGATGTTTATGCCTCGGCTGAGGCATCCTTTGGACGGCACGTGCTGCAAAGGGTAGCTTCTTCAGCTACGGCATCAGACCAGCCTCGCTCCCGCTCCTGAAGTGTATTGCTTTGGCATGTCCCATGCTTGGATTCCCCAAGCAGCTCACAGGAGAACGACCGTTGACTTACCTGAACGGTCCTTCTATGTGCACTGCGAGGGAATCCAAACCCGTCTTCGGCTATTCTGGGCCTGGACTTCCTTTTTTCCTATGACATTCTGACTTACCTTGACTTCTAGACTTATTTTGCTTCTCTCAAGCCGGCTGATCCTTTGTGCAAAACTGAACCAGTCCAATCAGAGGAGGCGTGGCCAGCAATTTTTATAACTCAGTCTCAGGGCTAATGGACAAAGTTAACCCATGCTTGGATTCCCCTCGTAGCACCTATAGAAGGACTGTTCAGGTAAGTCAACGGTCGATTTATGAATTATTTCATCTGAACACGTTCCATGTTCTTTTTTTCTGTTGTAGTGATCAGTATGGATAAACTATTTGCTCCTTTTTTGGATGGATGGATGGATGGATGGATGGATGGATGGATGGATGTTTCTGAAAATATAAATATAGACAGAGCAGAAACAGCCTTATTTATTCACTCGCCTCATCTGTGGTGATTTGCAATTTCATGCAATAATTTAAATGACAAAAATATATATTAAATGCTGGAATTCTATGAGATTTTAATGTACTTGATTTCAGCAATTTTTTAATTTTCTTTTTGCAGAGGGTTGTAGATAACAATTTCAGAGCTACTACTTCATAACTACTTCATTTTAGGGATATTTTGAAATAATCTGACCAATTTCTAAACCTTTTACTAATTAAACTCCAAAATAAATTTATATTAGGCTCTCCATTACATGTTGCTGGTATCTGAAGTAGAAGAAACTGAAATCTTCAAGATTTGTCTGGAGTATTGGAATCATCTGGCTGCTGAATTATATAGAGAGAGTCCATTTTCAACATCAGCTTCTCCATTGCTATCTGGAACTCAGCATTTTGATGTTCCTCCCCGGAGACAATTGTATTTGCCTGTGCTGTCTAAGGTAATTGTAATCACCAGTTTATTTATACTTTCTATAAGTATGAAAAGAGTTTACTGCAGTACCTTACTATGACTTAGGAGCTGTGAGTTCCTGGAGATACATGGCCAAAAACTGGAGATACTCTTATCTGGAACTCTAGATAGTGATTCACTACTCCACCTGGATGTTGTGTACAATTTGGGGGTGCTTCTGGATTCCTAACTCTTACTTGAAGAGCTGGTGATGCTGTGATTAGGCTTTATACAGCTGTGCTAATTACACTGTTTTTCCTGAATTGGGAGGACCTGCTCATGGTAATTAAAAGTTTAGCCACTCCTCAATTGGATTATTGCATCATGCTCTATATGAGCTGTCCTTGAAAACTAGACAAGCTTCAGTTGTTTCAGAATGCAGTAGTGTAGGTAGTTATTGGATTTCCACATTACACATATGTAGCACTTCTACTCTGCAAGCTGCATTGCTTCTCTACATAGAGGTTCCAGGTGCAAATCAGGATGCTGATTATGGCCTATAAAGTCCTGCCTGGCAATGGCCTGGTTTATTTGTTAGGTTGCCTTCTCAAGCATATCTGTCCATCCAACATACTCCAAGAGAAAAGACCTACTCTTCTCTGAAGCAATGTCACCTTTGAGATACAGGGGACATGCTTTTTGGTGGTAGCCCTTCTTCTTTGGAACACTTACCTCAATACTACAGTTGACCACAACCCCAGAGCCCTTTAAAAGGCAGCCAAGACTTGGATCTTTCCCTGGGGTTGGGTGAAGATGAATAGAATTCCCAATTGAAAAGATATTGCCTATTTTAGTTCCAAATGTCATTTAATTTATTTGTTTGTTTTTATGATATACATTATTTGTCTTTATATTTTTATTTAATGATTCTGTACACTGTCCAGAGGTCATGTTTAAGTTTGATAGCTTTATAAATGTTTGAAAACAATAACATTTAAAGGTGAGGTGGAATAGAGAACCCGATGAGGTTGTAAGTGTGATAGTCACAGGTACACAGCCACCCACTGGTAAATGTTAAGGATTCCAGCTCTATGAGTTTTGTGCCTCAGCAAATGAGGTTTTTGGTTGCTTTCTGTAGGAATAACTGTTATCATTTTAAATGTACATCAAGTTTGTAATTTGCTTTTCAAGTCTTGTATACTGTACTACAATAATCAATAAATTCTGAATCATTAGATAGCCTCTGCGTCATCTGGCCTATCAGTTAAATAGTGATGTGAGAAATCTGATTTACATACTATGCTTTTTAAATATATATTAATATATAGGTGCGATTATTGATGGTTAGCCGCATGGCAAAACCAGAAGAAGTACTTGTTGTAGAAAATGATCAAGGAGAAGTTGTTCGAGAATTTATGAAAGATACAGACTCTATCAACTTGTACAAGAACATGAGAGAAACATTAGGTAAATTATATTTGCATGATTATTATCTTTAATTTTGATTTGTTAAGAAAAAAAACCCCAAAACTAAAATGTGAAAATGTATACTATTACAGTTGATAGGAAGTGATAATTTTTTCCGTTGATAGCCCCAAACAAAGCTAGAGTAAAGGTTATATCATTTTCATAAGCAAATTTATTTTAGCCATGATTCTGTAGATTGAATTTTTTGTTGCAGTTGCTTATAATTTTTATTAAGGTAATTGGTTGTAGTTTGCATTGGTCTCCCTCAACTCTGAAAAAAACTAGCAAATTTTACAATTCACTCTAGCATGTCATTAAATGTTAGTGGAGAATGATATTCTGAATTCCTGGTAGTCAACTTACTTAAATTATTTCTTCCAGTTTATCTTACCCATCTGGATTATGCAGATACCGAACGAATAATGACAGAGAAGCTTCACAATCAAGTAAATGGTACTGAATGGTCATGGAAAAATCTCAATACCCTGTGTTGGGCTATAGGTTCAATAAGTGGAGCAATGCATGAAGAAGATGAGAAGAGGTTTCTTGTAACAGTAATAAAGGTATAGTAATGTATACAGTCTTTAGTAGCTTCTCAGGGAACTTTATATTTTGTAAAAAGAAAATCAACCTTTTAAGACAATTTTGCAAATACTATATATCAGGAAACATTGAACTTCTAAAAAGGTTGGTGTTGTTTTCATGGAAGTCAACACCAATATTACAGCTTCACTGGCAAACAGCATTTTGAATGCCTTCAAGTCCAAATACACCTCTCATTTAGCCACCGCATTTACTTTCTTAAATTGGAAACAAAATAATGGCTAAGCAAATTATGTGACTGATAGAGATGTTGCAAAGTTCACTGGTTGCAGCCATCTCATTGAGGTAAAGTTGTCTCATGCAGCAGTGTCAGTGATACTGTTCATTATTTTGATTTTTTTTAAAAAAAATATCTTACTTATGAACGGTCACTAAACAACATTCCTTCACTCCCTATTCATTATTCAGACACCAGCTACTTGAACGTGTATATTCTCTATTATCTTTTCAAGCAGGATTGGTTCACTTGATGAGAACAAAACTAGGAGTATCATTTTGATGGCTGCTCTTAAGTCTTTGGATTTTGTGAGGCTTTCTCTTTCTGCTATTCTAGGAAGCAATTTTTATTCAAGTATCTGTTTATGCTAAAGCTGGTATATATTTTTAAGTTCACTTGAATTTGTTTACCACGGTGTTTTATTGTGTTTTCACTAGTGTATTACTTATTACGTCTGAAATCTTCTGTTAATTGGTATATTAATGAAATTTTCATTATGATGGACTTCTGTTACTAGTCTACTCAGAAGAGGATTTGTCTTACTATATATTCTTTGTTAGTGCTACATTAACTGGATTTGAGTATAGAAAAATGTCCTCATATTTTGCATAATTACAGTATTACAAGACAAGGTCATGATTGTTTTTACAAGCATTTGATTTCACTTATTTTACCTTATTTTTTATTTTTTTCTGCAATGGTGCTCTAAATTTTTTATCCTAAATAAAAATGGAACTTTTTACAAACCTTGTGTTTCTGTAGGATCTTCTTGGACTCTGTGAGCAAAAAAGAGGAAAAGATAATAAAGCCATTATTGCATCAAATATAATGTACATAGTAGGACAATATCCAAGATTTTTGAGAGCCCACTGGAAATTTCTGAAGACTGTTGTCAACAAGCTATTTGAATTTATGCATGGTAATGTATCTGGAATTTAATCTGCTTTGTGCAATAATAATGTTAAAACCAGTAACTTTTCTATTAAATATCATAATAGATGGGTACAATTGGGAAATAACTTCACAAAATATTCTTATATTGGCAACTATTTCTAATTTTTCTCTTTAGAAACTCATGATGGGGTCCAGGACATGGCTTGTGATACTTTTATAAAAATAGCGCAAAAATGTCGAAGGCACTTTGTTCAAGTTCAAGTTGGAGAAGTAATGCCATTCATTGATGAGATCCTGAACAATATTAACACAATTATTTGTGATCTTCAGCCACAGCAGGTATATATATCAAGTTATAATATTGCAAAAATATCCAAAATAAGGGAATGTGCAAACACATGGGCATCAATAAGGCAGAGTGTTTTTTTTAATCTAGAATATACTTTTTGGATCTACAGGTGAAACTCGAAAAATTAGAATATCATGCAAAAGTTCATTTATTTCAGTAATACAACTTAAAAAGTAAAACTAATATATGAGATAGAATCATCACATGCAAAGCCAAGCCATGATGTGTCATAATTGTGATGATTTTTTTTTTAGACATTTTATTAAGATTTATAGGCTGCCCTTTTCCCTGAGGGGACTCAGGGCGGCTTACAATCGTAGGGAAGGGGGTGCAATACAAAAACAAACAATATGTGAACAAA